AGGACCTGCCCCCTGGTGGTCAGTGCACTCCCACAGCCAACCTCTCATAGCTGGCCAGCCTTCTGTGGTTCCTCCCCGAAGCTGGCCAGACATGATTAGCCCTGATCACTGGCCAGGCCAAGGGGTCCCACCAGTGTAGGAATTCGTACATGGGGCATCTAGTATATTTACATTTTACATTTCTCAATGCTCACATCACTATTTTGATGTTAGTTCTATTTCCTACATTAAAACTTTCCATTATATATAAAATTGGTAAATATATGACAATAGGAATAAGAAGTTTTCGAAATAGTTACCTAAGATACTTTCTATATTAAAATAATAATTCTTTTTATAGATAATTTGGATTTTAAAAACTTTATTGTAATCACACTGAATATACAAACCTAGATGTTTTTTGTTTGTGGGTTTTTTTTTTTTCTATTTTCATCTATATTTTGTTTATGGTTATACAACAATTATGTCACTTGTTAATATTTATGCAATTTTTAAAATTGTAATTTATTATTACTACATAATTGATGACCTACTAACTATGTTGACTTCTTTTTCCACTTTCATTGATAGCTTTAAGGCTGCATTAATTCTCATAGAAGATAAAAAGGAACCAGGAGAGAAATATTGGCACCAGACACTTCAGTTGCTTTAGTCCCCAACCAATTTACTCAGAACCTAAGTATAACAAATATCTGTTCTGTCATTGTTCTAAATTCTTTCCAGGCAAAAATGCAAATATATAGGATGAAAAAAAATGTTAATATGCAAATGCATGATTTATTTGATCACTGCCATCATTATTAACTTAGGCATATCCCTTTTATTGCATTTCTGGTTGTTTATGAATATCTTCATTATGTATTTCTTGTTGGTGAATATGTTTTGTAATTCAGAGTTTTAGTTGTTTACAAAGAGTACTTTGACCTAGATTCTGAGAAACAGAATTCATTGGCCAGAAGTATATAAATTTTAAAAATGATATATAGCCTGTTCAGAATGAGACAAACCTGATTTATGAACTTCTTGGGGGAGAAACAAGTAAACTTTCCTCAAATGCCTCTTTCATTTTCTTGACAAGGAAGTTGAACAAACAAAATGAAGGCGCAAAAAGTTGGTATTTTAGTCAAATTTGTCTGTAATGGAATTCATGGAGCAGAATTCATACTAAGAAAGATCTAAAATGATTAAGAACATAATTCATCAAATACAGGAGATAAATAATAACTTGCTTGCTTACATGTTACAAGCTAAGTGTGCACTTCCCAAGCAGTTTCCATCTGGTGGTGGATTCTTTAGCAGCTTTTATTCATATCAGTCAGCCATGAAGCATTTCCTGGAGATGTCTTTGGAACGTGGTGGTTTGTTAGAAACTCATATTTTTTTCTCCTCATAACTTGACAAATAATTTAGTGAGAAATGTAAGTAATAACTAGCTTCACAGTCATTTTCAATGGTGAAGGTGAAGACAGAAGAGAGGAACAGTTATCAGTCTAGTCTAAATGAATTTAGGAAGCAGGACAATCGTGAGAGACAACTTTGGATCAGATCTGCTTTAAGACTTTTGTTAACCTTAAGCACTGTTGTTCTCACATTCTGTCTTCTACATTAAATTATATATACATTACATATTATATAATTATACATATTATATTATATATTACATAATTACTATATATATATATATATATATATATATATATATATATATATATATATTTAGATGGTATAATGACAAGTATTTTGATGCTATATATTAAAATATCCTATATAAGAAAAGCCAAATATGCTAAGTGTCCAGTCATCCTGTTGGCTGTTCAACAAATCAAACATAATATGCAAATGATATGCTAAGGCCGCTCAACTGCTCACTATGATGTGCACTGACCATCAGGGGTCTGACAGCTGACTGGTCAACCAGTTGCTATGTCGTGCACTGCCTACCAGTGGACAGATGCTCTGACCAGTAGGTTAGCTTGCTGCTGAAGTCCAGCTGATCGGGATTGAGCAAGATGGGCCAGGGGGCCCTGAAGCCCTCAGTGGTCTGTTCCAGGTTGGCACAATCTCCTATTGTGCACAAGTTGAATCCCTTGGCCTGGGCTGTGCCCTCTCCCAATCAGGGATCCCTTAGGGGATGTCAGAGAGCCAGTTTTTGCACAACAGCCGAATGTCAGAGAGCCAGTTTTGGCACACTAGCCACCAGGAGGCAGATGCTCAATGCAGTAGCTGTCTCCTGGTGGTTATTGCACTCCCACAGGGAGAGTGCTGCTCAGCCAGAAGCCAAGCTCATGGCTGGCAAGTGCAGCAGTGGTGGCAAGAGCCTCTCCCTCCTCCACAGCATTCAGACATCCTCTGAGGGCTCTCAGACTGCAGGAGGGCTCAGGCCAGGTTGAGGGAAACCCTCTGAGTGCACGAATTTTATGCACTGGGCCTCTAGTTTTATATATAACTTTATTGGTGTAAATATTAAATAGATTAAAGATATATATTAAACCACTTTCTTGTACTTAAAAGTTTAAATCTTCTCCCAAGTTCAAAAGAAATAAAAGTGACCCATTAGGCACAGTGATGAGGGCCCACCCTTACTTTCAAAAGACCTTATGATCTTTTGAAAGTAAGGGTGGGCCCTCATCACTGTGCCTAATGGGTCACTTTTCTTTACTTTAGAACATGTTACAAAACAATTCAGCTCCTTGATACCTTCTGTAAAATCATTTAATATGTGAGCTTTATTGAAGTTATTAATGGTGGCTTTGTAGACCTGATCTACTTAGGTGATTTGGTTTTTGTTTATTTTTTATCTCTTTGGCTTGTTTTACAATTTATTTTCTTAAAATGAAGTGATGTGAGCATGAAATAGGATATGGAAGTCACCTTGAGGTGCGAGATAGATATTTAATGATATATATGTACACTTAAAATTGCTAATGATTGTTACTTTCTGTCTTCTTTGCAAATGGCATTTGTTAACTGTGTTGTCAAAACATTTTACAGGAATGAAACTTATTCTTCAAGCACACCAAATGTGCTCCATGGGCCCCTTTAATCCCAGTTATACCTGAGATGTTACTTATAATATAGAGTCCTACCACCAAATCAGAATTTCTCGGAGTGAAATATAGGAAACTCATTAAACAATATCATCATGTGATTCTTATGGACTTAAACTATGAGACTCAGATGTATAACGTAAAGCCTGGAGATTTTATGATTTTAGCATCAGTACTACCATTAAAAAACAGTGAACTGTATATTAAGGCAATATATGAGGGGTAAAGTGGTTTGGATTATGCTCTTTGAGTCTTATATTACCAACTGAGTACAAATAGAAAGGTGCTTTCTTTGTTCCTTTACCTTTGCTACTGAAGTCAGGAGGATTGCTCTGAGGCTAGACAGCGGAGCCTAACGGGTTGCTGTGGGAGAAGTTTCCCGGGCGTGTGAAGTGTGCTGAGGGAGGCCACTTAGCAGATGCCTGTGGAGTTGATGGCCCACGTATAGCCCTGATCTGGGGCTTCTGGGAAGCATTCAGCTCACTAAATGGCACCCGGCTCTTTGTAAGAGTTCAGGAATCTCCCTTATTGTTTAGTTCATTCCCAGGGAGTGACTTTGGAATGAGGGAGGCTAGAGTATATACCCCTGGTACAGTTACTTGTGCAAATAGTAGTACTGTATTTTAAAATTTACTATCTCCCACATGAGAACAGATATTGAGAAGGCCTGACTGATAGATCTTTATTCTTTACCATATATATATATATATATATATATATATATATATATATATATATTTCCGTTTCTAAAGATAGGTTTGTTTTTTACTTATTAGCATAGCATATGCCTGTAGAAAATTTGGAAACATATAAACTGATAAAGATGGTTTATAAACCTCTAAATCTTACTACTTAGATCTATTCATTTTTAACCCTTTAGTACTCTTCTTTCTGAAGTTCTTTGATACATATGTTTGTGTGTGTGTGTTTATATATATATATATATATATTCACACACTGAGACAAGCTGTATTTACAGTTTTGCCCCTTTTAAAATAACATAAAATTATTTGAAAATATTTTTCAGTTACATAATACTCGATCTCATAGATTCATAATATAATTATTCATAATTCCTGAGAATTTAGGCTCTTTCTCACTCTGCTTCATTGTGTATACATATTTAACTGTATTTTTTATTATTTTATTAGTAAAATAGTTATTGAACTATATGTGCTGAAAATAAGAGTATTTTTTCAACTACTGATATGTTTTAAAAATCATCTTTTACAAAAACCTCTTGTTTTTACTGTAAAAGTTACAAATGCAAGTCCTGATAGAAAACACTTTTAAAGTCTCTTGACATTCATGAGATATCTGATTCAATCACTGGGAAAAATAAAACAAAAAAACCCCAATTGTATGGTAGTGGAGTTTATGGCCACTAATAAATTCATATATTGAGGAATAAGAGAAAGAGTGATATTTCAAAATGCCCTATATATATATAGCTAATATGCAAAGTGTCCTCTCTGGAGAAAGTTTGATCAGTCACTATAATGTGCACTGACCACCAGGGGGCAGCGTGGAACATGGCAGGTGACCAGTGGTGGTGGCAGGCGCTGAGGGATCAAGGGAAGGAGGAGGCAGGGAGAGGAGAGGCGGGGGAACCTGGTTGGCACTGATCACTGGCCAGGCCTAGGGACCCTACCCATGCACGAATTTTGTGCACTGGGCCTATATATTGAAGATCTAAGGGTAAATATAGCTACTGAATGTGTGAGAAATTTATAGAAATAGGAAAGAGTTAATAATATATATCAAGAGAAAATTAAGAAATCCTATATAATAAAAGCCCAAGGACCATATTAGCATAATGATCAGAATGACCAGAGACCAGAACCACCATATCCCCTCTCTGGGCTGACCCTGCCTCCTAGCAAGTGATTAGGGGAGATCAGGCAGGTAGAGTGGTTAGGGGTGATCAGGTAGGCAGGAGAGTGGTTAGGGGCGATGAGGCAGGCAGAGCCCACAATTGATTGCCTGGAAGAGGGAGGCCCAGGCTACAGCCTGCGGGAGACCCAGGCTACAGCCTGCTGGGCATCTGTGACAGGAGGTGCTGGCAGTGGTGGATGCTGCAGGGCAGGGCTGGTGCCACGGCAGCTCCTGAGAGGGGATGGCACCTGCAGCTTGGCCCAGGTCCCAGGCTCTCTTCCAGGGCTCCCTGACCGGACTCCCCACTCAGTCCTCACTGCGGAGGAGCTGAAATATGCTGACACCCACAACATTGGGGCCATGATTGCCCCTTTGCACTTCCTGGAGGGGAACCTGGGAAAGAGGCCCCAACCTGTGAAGAGTGAGCTAGAGGAGGAAGAGGAGCGGAGGAGAGGGCTCCTGGAAAAGAACAAAGTGGTCGCAGCCTATTGCCGGAGCGGGAAGAAGGAGCGGAAGGAGTGTCCGCAGCGGGAATCTGAGTGGCTGGAGCTCATGAGTGCGGAGCTGAAAACCCAGATGGCGGAGCTGAAGCAGGAGCGGCAGCAGCTCATCTTGATGCTCAACGGATGCATCGTCAGAACCTGCATCGCCAGGACCATTAAGACCCCCGACTCAGAAGGCAACCCACTGCTGGAGCAGCTGGAGAAGAAGTGACCATGGGCTGGGAGGAGAAAGAGGAGAAGAAGGAGGAGGAGGAGGAGGAGGAGGAGGAGGAGGAGGAGGAGGAGGAGGAGGAGGAGGAGGAGGAGGAGGAGGAGGAGGAGGATGCCAGAGGGCTCTTCCTTGCTGCATGAAAAACTATTCAGCGAGGTTCAGCACAGCCAGCATCAGCCCGGCTTTTTTGTGCAACTTGGAACAGCCACACCAGGAAGCAACCCAGGCTGATGAAACCCGGGACCAAGCACTGAGATCAAAGTAGTCCTGAGGGGGCTTGTTCTTCCTGGGGTCAGACTTGCAGGAGGCAGGACAGAGGCTCTGGGCTAGAGAGATGCCCAACCAGGCAGCTGTGGGCACTTCTCCGGCCTCTCTGTCAGGGCATCCACCCAAAGGACCTTAGAGCAGCCAGGAAAAGCCATGAGTTGCAAACAAAATTAGGCTGAGTATGGAACTCAGAGTGAAACCGCAATCTGCCTGCCCCCAGCCCTGACCCTGACCCTGATCCTGATGCAAGGCTGGAGAAGGGCACAGTGTCAGGCCCTGCCGTACCCACCCACTGTGGTCCAGCTCAGTCCTGCCCAGAGTGCCGCCAGGGCGCACCCTCCCCGGCCCTGCTGGAGGTGCTGTGGGCACCAGGCACGGGTGTCCTTCCAAAGCACATACTGAACGTTTACAGACTGGCTGTCCTGGCAGCGCTTTCAACTGCACATGTTTTTTATACTTTTTAAAAAATATATTTTTTTCCAAAAATAGATTTTATACAAGCAATATATAAATGGATTTCTACAATCACTTGATGTTATACAGTATAAATATGCTATGGTTTGTTTATTATGAACAGATTTCAGCAATTATGGTCATTGCATGTAACTTCTCAGTACTGTAGTCTCTGGGTGTTGGGAATAGCAGGGGAGGGAGTGCAGTGATTTTGATCCTGGTAAACCCTTCATAATACTCAGTCTGTATTGCTCAGTAAACATTACTAAAAAAAAAAAAAAAAAAAAAAAAAAAAAAAAAAAAAGGAAGAAAGAAAGAAAGAGGACCAGGACACTGTCCAGAGATACTGTGGCAGGTGTGAGGCTGGCCAGCAATAGCCATCACACCCCACACCTGTCACCTGCAGAGGGAGGCGACTGGTGGCAGGGGGGATAGCACTATGCAGTGTCAGCAGTGGGGTGGGGCCAGCTGCCTGCAGCCAGGAGAAAGAAAGTCCTAATAGGCCCTGATCTCAGGCTAGGCTTAAGGGGTCCAGGATTGTGAGAAGAATCAGGCTGGGCTGAGGGGCCCCTACTTTCATGCACTAGGCCTCTAGTAGATTATAAAAGAAAGGAGCTTTATAAATCTTAAGCCAGTTGAAAGAGATTTTATACGTATTACTAAGGTACATTGATAGTTTGCTGGTGTAGAGGAATAAAGACTCTTGGATAACTATGATTTGCATCTGGAATAATCATGAAAAGATGTAAAGATAAAACTAAGAACTTAAGACTTCACTTTCAACCTGACCCACAAAAGAAAAAATAAATGAGGTGATTATATATTCTAAAATAGATGGAAAAAAAAAACACAACAGAAAATTTTAGGAATGAAAGAGGTCCATAAACATGGTTAATATTAGAAAGCTAATCATGAGTAAGTCTTTTTAGGTGTTATTTTTTGAGAATCTGAATGAAGGAAATAGGTATATCTTAACACTGCCCAAGAGGAGGTAATTTTGCAATCCTGATTTGTATTGTTTCAATCCTTATTCTATCAGGAAATATTATTAATTGTAGTGTAATGCACCCATTTAGTTAAGTAAACTGGAAAATCCTAATATATATATAAAAAAAAACACCTGGGTCCATCACAATCAGAAGCTCAACCAACTGGAAATCAGTCCTGCAGTCAGGGCTGGGTTGCTGTGGGACCCAGCACTGACTGCTATGGCTGCAGGCTGGGTGACCCAGCACTGACTGCTGAGAGGACTGCAAATCAGCTCGGAGAGAGGCCTGGAGAGACAAGCAGGGTCTGATCTGTAGCCTCTGTGGCAACTGTTGATCAGCAACTTGCCTCTCTCTTTTGCTCTGGATCTGGCCAGCAGTTGCACCTCCATTTCTCCCAGGCCTCCACAGGGGCTGCTGATCAGCCCCACCTTTCTGATCAGGCCCTGTTGTTAGGCCCAGAGATGCTGACTGGCAATGAAACCAACCAATCAGAACCAAATCTGGGTGAAGTGTGAGGAGCCAATGGCTGCCCAAGAGGCAGAGTTTTTAATGCTGACTGGCATAGAAACCAACCAATCAGAAACAAATTGGCCAACAGAGAAGGGCAGTTGGGTATGAGATTAGGCCAGCAGGGGAGGGCAGTTAGGGATGATCAGGCAGGCAGAGGCAGTTAGGGGCTATCAGGTTGGCAGGGAAGGGCAGTTGGGGGAGAGATCAGGCTGGCAGAGGAGGGCAATAAGTGGCCATTAGGCCAGCAGGGAGGGCAGTTGGGGGCAACCAGGCTGGCAGGGGGAACAGTTGGGGGTTAAATCAGGCCAGCAAGGGAGAACAGTTGGGGGCAATCAGACCAACAATAGAGCAGTTAGGTGTTAATCAGGCTGGCAGGGGAGATGTTAGGGGGTGATGAGGCTGGCAGGCAGAAGCAGTTAGGGGCAATCAGACGGCAGGCAGGCATGTGGTTAGGAGACAGCAGTCCTACATTCCCGAGGGTTCCAATACTGGAGAAGGTGCAGGCTGGGCTGAGGGACACCTCTCACCCCAGTGCATGAATTTTATGCACCAGGTCTCTAGTTTCAGCATAAGCACCGAGGATTCTTCCTAGTTGGGACCAACTCAAAAAAAGGGCATCTGGATAATCACCAACTAAGCTGTCCAGTGTGTTTACTTCTTCAGAACCAAGTGCCTCTGACAGCACAACATGCCCTGGATCTAGTTTTTAGCTTAGTCACCATCATCATTTCCTTTCTATTTATTTATTTTTTAAAAATATATTTTATTGATTTTTTACAGCGAGGAAGAGAGAGGGATAGAGAGTTAGAAACATCGATGAGAGAGAATCATCGATCAGCTGCCTCCTGCACACCCCCCACTATGTTATGTATTCACTACTCCAACCATCATCATTGACTTTTACGTAGAAAACATTGGGACATAATTTTGATATGTGGAGTTTGGGGCACAGAATCTTCCTTTTTGGGTTCTCACTCTATGAAATTTGAAGAATAAATACTTGAACTAAAGGCTTCTTTAGTAAAACATGTGGAAGTTTATTGGAAGCATATACAAATTTTGCCTTGCAGGGGTCCCAAGTGGAAAAAAACCTGTTCTTTCTCTCTCTAATGGGAAAAAAAAAAATCAAACCTAAATCTTCTGAGTCTCTTTGTCTCTGGGTTTATAAAGGCTGCAGCAGTTTGTGTCTTTATGACCCTTTTTAATTTGACTCCTCCCTTAATTTATGACTCCTATGCTTTCCTAATTGGTCAGAGTATCAGTTTCAAAATCTAAAGCCCATGTGGTGCCCACTTCTTCCTCTTGTGACATTTCTCTATCTTCTGTGAAATTATGATTCCTCCCTCTTCCTTGTATCTTGTGGCAATTCTGTATCCTCTGTGAAAGTAAGATAACCATTTGAGCCCATCATCACAAATGTGCATTCCTCTTCCACGGACCCTCCTTTCCCCTAAAACTGCCTATCTTGTCTTAAAATTCCTTTCAATTTTGTTGTTAAGAAATAGAATATGAGCCAAAACCGGTTTGGCTCAGTGGATAGAGCGTCGGCCTGTGGACTCAAGGGTCTCGGGTTCGATTCTGGTCAAGGGCATGTACCTTGGTTGCGGGCACATCCTCAGTAGGGGTTGTGCAAGAGGCAGCTGATTGATGATTCTCTCTCATCGATGTTTCTAACTCTCTATCCCTCTCTCTTCCTCTCTGTAAAAAAGCAATAAAATATATTAAAAAAAAAAAAGAAATAGAATATGAGCTTTGTGGAACCTTATTCTCTAAAAACAAAATGGTTTAGAATTCCTTTATATAAAAATGTAAGCAGCCCAATCAGGTTTATCAAATGCGAAGTAGAAAGTTTCTGTTTCAGTCAACTATGTAGACATTTGATTGGTGACTGTGTTCTCAGTCAGGTACAGTCTCAGGTTCATGTTCTTCAGAGAAGTGTTAACATACAATAAATTGTATCGTTATGAAATATAATCTCAAAGTAGATAGTCAAGACAGATATTTCAAAAGGTTAATTAAACAGTTTATCATTAGTTCCTAAAAGCAATATTCTACACTCACTGAAAAGTGGAGGTCATGAATGAAGGAGCCTGGAATGCATCTATTCCATCTACATACAAATGATGCTTCCTGCAATGACTCTGCCCTGGGCAGGATCTGGAGTTGGGATGGATAGTGACATAAGGAGCATTCAAAGATTTAAAGTAAACCAAGTATAGGCTTTAAGGAGAAATTGAAGCAGAATGTTAAGTGCTCCAGCAGAGTTTCATGATGCCTGAACATTCTTAGGGCAGACTAGAGAATCTGACATAGATTGAAAAGGGTGTTTTTTGTATAATTGGAAAAAATATAGCAACAGAATCTGCAAAAGCAGCTGCTGTTGGAATCCACAGGGAGGATAATAGGGGGCCATTTGTAATTTTCGTGTTTTTTTTAATTTTTAAAGATTTCATGAAATAATATCAAATATATCTCCTTTAACTTAAATAACAACAAGAGTTTACTCTGCTCACTAAATCGGGGCATAAGACACAGTCTCTGCTCAGATGCATCATGTAGGGCAAACCAACAAACTAGAAACTAGTGCTTTAAATTACAGATAGAACAATTGAGTATGTTTCAAAGTTATTTTCTAGACAATAAAATCTATTAGCCCATAGAATGATCACCTATAGAAGTGAGTAAGGTACATTTGTAAAGTCACTTAAAATTTGTTAAGTATATATACAAGAATGCATTGGTGGATATAAGCAAGAATATGAAAAGTTCCCAGATTCTATTTTGACCCAATATCATTTTAATTTGGTTCCTCATGCTGCTTTCTTTATGTGCTCTTTTTCAGACTCCAATGAAAATATAAACATATGGAAGTACCGTACCTTTTATTTTCCATGTATACATTATTATATTTTACCTGTATTTTGAGATAGGATATCCAATGGAATATAATAGTCTAGACCTACATATAATATACTTTATTTGTTCTCTATTTTTATCAATCAGACATTCACCACACTAATTCATTTGATATTTATAATAGTCTCATTCCTTTTAAATTAGTCATCAGCAAATATGGTTTGTCAATGACAGAATGTTCAAATCTCTAGAAAAATGTTCGTTTGAGCCAAAATTTTGAGGATATGATCAGAAGGAAGATCTACACAAATTGAGAAAATGTTCTGGAGAACGGCATTTTTGCAATTTTTTTCCTGCATTTAGAATCAAAGCAGAGAATTTAAGGAAAGTATGTGAAATCATTGGTGGTAGACTAAAGAGGCAGGAGACAGCAAAGTGGGAAGATATTTAGAACTGGATAAAAAGTAAATTAGAGAGATACATGATTGGTTGAAAATAGATATCATTTAATATTTTCACCACATAGAAGTGGTATGTAGGCAATAAGATAACAATGAGGAATTTTGTGGTCCTGTGCTCTTATAACCCAATGAAAGCCAAACTCATGGGACAGGAGCTGATGAAAAGAAAAAAAAGAAAAAAAAAGAGGTTTATTTGAGTGACAGCATCTTGAAAAGATGGGGAATTTTTCCAAGTCCTCAAAAACCTATCTTGCCCAGCTGGCATGGGTCAGTGGTTGAGTGTTGACCTATGAACCAGGAGGTTGCAGTTTGATTCATGTTCAGGACACATGCCTGGATTGTGAGCTGGATCCCTAGTGTGGGAAATGCAGAAGGCAGCTGATCAATGATTCTCTCTCATCATTGATGTTTCTGTCTCTCTCCCACTTCCTTCCTCTCTGAAATTAATAAA